ATGATTTAGACCATTTAGATTATGAAGATGATTAATGTCAGCTAACATTTATCAAATGTTTACCATATGCCAGCACTGTGCTCACTTTACAGGCATTCTCATGTGCCTATAATCGTCTGAAATGGTTACTATTATCCCCATTTTATAGATGAAGAAACTGGGTCTTAGGCTAAGTGAGTTGGCCATTGTCACATGGCTGGTGCAGGTGAGATTTGAACCAGAGTCTGAGGCCAGAGCCTGCATTCCTAACCACCTTACTATACAGCCTCAAGAATTTGAACATAATTTGGTTTGATAATTTTAAAATGCATTGTAGATTTTACAGTGCTTCAGGATTGTGAATTAATCAGTACATGCCATCTTCCCTTTAAAATAAGAATGGTGATTTAACCTTCATGTTTGTTTAGTATAATGACACTCGTTTTGGTTATTTTTATATCTTAATACATTTTATAAAATACTTGTAGGGACTAATTAGTGTTTTCGTTTTTTCCTCTTTGACAGCATTGGATTCAAAGGCTAACAATTTGTCCAGTCTGTCCAAGAAATACCGCCAGGATGCGAAGTACTTGAACATGCGTTCCACTTATGCCAAACTTGCAGCAGTCGCTGTATTTTTCATCATGTTAATAGTGTATGTGCGATTCTGGTGGCTGTGAAGTAGTGAATCCAGTCACTGACAAGGGAGAGCCTAGAATCCGACAGGTGTGTGTTTTCAGGAGGCTGAGCTCACAGAGATGTGTATTAGATCCAAGTGGAACTTCTGCCTCTAAAGACCTTGCAAGAAAAGACATGCCCTGAAAATGAAAGGTTACACCTCATTTAATGAAGCTTCACCTGTGTAGAAAGTCTCTTTTGGGGGCAGAGGCTTTCTCTGGGTGCTAAGCCATATATGTTAGGGAACAGTAGATTGTTTTATTTTGTTTTTTCCCTCCCAGTGTTTTATGTTTTTAAAACAGTGCTGACCGGGGCATCCTCATTCTCTAGGGGCACCATCACTGAGATTTGGCTTAACCAATCTGTGCTAGCAATAGTCTGAAATTCCTTCAGAGAAGGCAGCCCTTTGGGAAGATTTTTGACTCTATCTAATCAACATTCCTTTTGTTAGTGACATTTGTGATTTTCAGTAATCTGAGTTTTTGATGGCCTTTTAAATAAGACTCCAGTATGTGAAGGTTAATTGCTGTGCTGCAAAGATCTTGTCTGTTGGCCCCTGTAGGAAGTTAACCTTTGTTGTTTTCTTTTATGATATTTTGCTTATTGCACAATTGCTTTAGGGTTAAATGAATTATATTAAGATGCCTTGAAATTATATTATAGCACTCCTTGATTAAGAAGCTAAAATGTTTTCTGTCATTTACTCCTTAAAAGACTTAAATTAGTTTGGGACATTCTTAATATTATTTTTCAGCATCTGGATTATATCAATATGAGTGAGAATCACATACATATAGCCAGAGCCCCTGACGTAGTGAGAAGAAAGGCCCACTCGTAACTACAGCTTTGTCCTGCCCCCTTCTCATTTTCTCCACTACAGTTTTCCCACTCTCTTTTCCTCCTGCCACGGTTTGCTAACATTTTTTAAATTCCTCTGTGCCCAGTAGTTTCATGTCTCATAAGCATCCTCTCAGGATATTCTGAAATTTCAAAATGGAAAATGTTCAGCTGTAGAGTTAATTAAATTTAAATTTTTGCATAGTGACTACTCAAACTACTAAATACATTTACCTGAGAAAGTCTCTGAGAGTACTTCATACCTCCTTCAGTTTATGTAAATTCTCTGAGAATGTTTTAGAGATAGATAAATCATTTACAGTGGCTTCTGTTAACAAATAAAAGTACCTATGATTTTTCCCTTTTTTGCTCAGGGATGATGGGGATTTCCTTTTACCTTCTGAGGTAGGATTTTTTAAATGGGAAGAACAGGCCTTTTAAATATTGTCACAAGGGTCTACAATATAACCTATAACTCCTACACATACTGCAAATATTTCTTTAAATTGTATAGGAAAATGAGCCAACTTCTTATTTCTTAACATCTTTGGAAAGAACTTTAACCAGTAAGCAATTTTATAACTCTAAGAGACATCAAAGCTACTGTTCTGATTCCTGATAGAGAAAAAAAATCCTATTTCCTTATAACAAGGCAAGGAGAAATGCTTATTTTATTCCTGATAGTTTGCAGAGCTAGAATACAATGTTTTTTTCCCATTTTGGACATAAATCTGCCAATTGGAGTTTTGTGCATGAAATATCAAGTTACTTTTTATAGAGAATAAGTGCTTTTAAGTCCCTAAAAGGTTTGTCCCTAAGTAATGATGTTGGTAATCAAAGCCTTTGAAAGACTAAAAACCTAAGTAGTGGTACCATAGTGTTTGGTACTTCTGTAGGAGTGGAGAGTGGCAGCTCGTTGTTGAGAGTTGCATGCTGCAACCAAGTGGTCAGCAATGAAATAAATACTTGTAGAATGTTCCCTTCAGTGTGAAGTTTTGTTATCTAGTTAATTTATGTACACATATCCTTCTAGGTACATTTCTACCTAAACTCTGGGTTAATTAAAAAATGAGAAGGGGGAGATGATCAACCAAGGAATAAGAAAGTTGTTTAAGATTATGAAGGTAGAAAAATGAGAGAAAAAGACTGTCATAATATGACTCCTACTTCTCTTCTTTATTGGAGGTAGTGGGAAGATCTGAGTAGATGAAGTTTATCAGCAACCAAACAACCAAACAAGCAGGTAAAATAGAATGTGATAAACAACTGTACAGGGTTGTTGAGGGCACGTTAAGAAAGGACACCTAATGTACTTCGGGGAGGAGTGGTAAGGGAAGGAGAATGGGGTATTCTAGACAGAGTCAATGGCTTGTGCAAAATCGTGAGTTAAACGAATGAAGCACATTTTGGAGATTGTAATTAGCTTGGTTCAACTTAACTCGTAGGGTAAGTGTAGGCAATTGAGACTTGAAAAAGAACTAGACTGGTATAGTATCATAAAGGGACTTGTCTGCCATGCTAAGGTGTTTAGACTACACTAACATCAGTGGCAAGAGATGACATCAGATTTATAGTTTCAAATGATCATTCTGGCCATAGTTTAAAAGATATATTAGAGATGGATAAGCCTGGAAGTAGGGAGATGAAACTAAGGAGCCATCCAAGGTAGAATGAGACATAGGAGACAGGTTTCAAGTGATTTTCAAGAAAGGAGTTATCCCAGGTACCAATAATAATTTACGTAATGCTTTCTTTGTTAGAAGCTCATTTAATTTTATTCTCACATTGACATTTTATTGTATTCTCACGTTGATGTTTTGAAGTAAAAACTGTTCATACCATATGAATGAAGAAACCTTACAAAGGTTACCACTCTGATGCACAGAAGAGTTAAGTAATTTGTTCAAAGTTACAGAGCTAGAAAGTGATGGATTTAAGATTAGAGCCTAGCATTTTGGCTCCAGAGTCTGTGCTTTTCTCTGCCATACTGTACCACCAAGAGGTCAAATAAGTACCAAAAAGTGTATTTTGAATTTAGTGATTAGGAACTCAATCATAAAAGCAGAAGTAATTCCAGGGAAGTGGGGACAGAAGTCAGATTGCAATGGATTGAGGATTGTGTGAACCACTAGTAAGTAAAAATGTAGAACTTCTCTTACAAGTAGCTTCTCTGGTTGTTATGACATTGAGCTTCATAACATGCTTTAATTAAAAATTAATGTTAAAATGCAGCAGTATTTGGCACATTGTACATACATATGTTCATTTAAATGTCTAACAGTGGTTCTTATGCTTTTTGGAAAACCTTTGAAAATCTGATGAAAGGTATGTCCCTTTACCCCAGAAAAATGTTCCTGTGTGCATGCATACCAAGTATCACATACTATTTCACAGTATTCAAGAACTCCACAGAGCCTGATCATGACCTAGTGGTCCAGGATCCCCTAGTTAAGAACTCCAGATACATAGGATGTGGAACTCAAAGGTAAGTACCCAGAAGCCTTGAAAACTGTCCAGCTGTGGTGAATTGGAAGAATTCTGCAGTTTGAACTATGTGGATGAGATGCATCCTTGAGAAATTGTGTACCAAAAAAAAAAAAAAAACTATCAAATATTTATCTGTAGTGCATTCAGGGATCTGGTTCTACAGAAAAAAATATTTGGTCCCAGTTCCTCAAAAATCACATTCAAGGATCTTAAAATTTATATTTTCTACTTTTTTTTTTTTGCTGAGGAAGAGTCACCCTGAGCTAACATCTGTTGCCAATCTTCCTTTTTTGGTTTGAGGAAAATTTGCCCTGAGCTAACATGTGTTGCAAATCATCCTCTTTTTGCTTGAGAAGGAGTCGCCCTGAGCTGACATCTGTTGCCAATCTTCCTCTTTTTGCTTGAGGAAGATTCACTCTGAGCTAACATCTGTGCCAGTCTTCCTCTATTTTGTATGTGGGTCACCACCACAGCATGACTGCTGACAAGTGGTATGGGTCGGCGTCTGGAAACCAAACCCAGGCCACCGTAGCGGAGCCCACTAGATCATGGAGCCGGCCCCTATATTTTCTACTTTTATCAGTAGGAAATCTTGCAAAAGCAAGTTAAGAAGAAGGCAAATGGGATAATCATTTCTTCACACACAGTATTTAATACATGTATAAGAGAACATCTCATAATTTAAATTCCCATCTTATTGGGAGTTTTCATGACTAAGGGCATAAGTGTTGGTGGCCACACAAGGCTTTTGGTTAGTGTATTTAGCAGAACTGAATGAGCCCCACCTGGTTGTCATTTCAGCTCAGCAAAAAGGCAAAGAGCAGTGGTTGTATAGATGTCACTACTATAATTGCACATTAACTGATTGGGCCAAATAGCTTGTACTGTGAAGGTCCCCAAAGAAAAATTTTTAGCACGTGTGATGTATTTTGAGATAGAATGGGCAAATTGGGTCTCACATCCTGTTCATTACAGACAGGGTTGAGCTAACTGTAAAACTATCTCGAGCAATTTAATCACTCAGTTCTAATAAAGTTTATTTCAAGTGCTGTAACTGAATTCATGTTTTAGACTAGAAAAATTGTTGGAAATTTGACTTCATATACTACTGGACTATTTTTTTCTACCATAACCTTCACTTATTGAGTACTATGTGTTAGGCATTTTACATATATTATTACGGTCCTCATAACCATTTTCCCAGCTTGCCCAAGGTCACATAGCAAGTTGAAGTACTTAAGTTCAAATCCAGGACTGCTAGACACCGAACCAGTACACTTTACTGTTTACTACTCCTAAATAATGATGTGAACAAATTCTTAAGCTCTGACATTTCAGGTTGTCCTGTCAAGTTATTAGTTTGCTTTATTTTGAAAAGATACATATTTTTTTACGATTTCATTTTATTATTCCCATCTCCTTTTATTTACTTCTGTCATTTCTCCCTTCATTCCTTTTTAATATTTTTTGCTCTTGAGTTCTTGTTTGCCCTTTCTCATGCTTGGTTTGTAATACATCTTATTTTATTTGCTCCTTTACATTTTCATTTGATCTCAGTGTTAGTTCAACGTTTCTTTATATCTGATTCACTTAAGGTTTAGCAAAGTAATTTTTAAAAATAAATACCCCCTTTTTTTCCTGTGTCCTTTTGCCCATTCTCTTCTCTTTTTCTCCCACTCTTTTTCCTCACCTCTTTTATCCCTTTCCATTTTACTTCATTTCCCTAGATGGTGTTTTTACTTAGGAGTTAATGTAATGCTACAACTTTGCTTCTGCAAGCGAGAGCTTCAAAATCAATTATTGTATTTACTCTTTATTTTTAGACCTTTATCTTACCTTTGATAGATTTTATAATAAACTGTGTTCTCTTATTAGTCAATGCAGATATGCCCCTGCTTTAAGGAATCTCTAGAAAAAATTTCAAACATTGCAAGAATTCTTCAAGAACAAGCTCCTCTAGTTTGTCTTCTTTATTTAGGACTTAAGCTGTCACTTATATTTCGATAACTTCAAAGTATACCTGTCAATCCTCAAACTTGAGGCCCAGACCCCAATTTTTTGCTGCTTATTGGTTGTCTGTGTTTGACTATCCCATAATTACTTCACTGCATCTAAAACATCTTATTACCTCCATTCCGTTACTCTTAAAGGTAAAACTAACCTGTGCTTCCTACTACATTTCTAATTTTTAGGCATCACCGGCCACCCTTTCGCCTGAGCTACAAGTCATGAATTGCATGTGACTCCTCTGTTTTCTCCTTCCACCTCTCAACTCTTAACCAAAATCTGTTTTTAATGACCGCCAAAATATTTCTCATCCATCTCTTCCTTTGGGCCTTAGATGCAAGCTCTCACTAACTGTAACTTGGGCTCTTGCAGTAGCCTCCTTACTACTCTCCTTACACGTGTCTGTCTTTCAACCCAGTACTACCGTCTTAATACCAGAAATTTTCTTAAAGAGCTAATCACACCCCAATTCCTATAGAATAAAAGATCACCTACTCCAATCTGCTTTCCAAAATCTGACCCTTTTGTACCATTTCAGATTCATCTGCCAATCCCCACCATCTCTTTTGTTTCAGCCACACCAAATTATCTAGCCTTCTCTAACCAGTCAAGCACTTTACCTTGTTCCTTGGCTCATTGATGCCTTCTCTTCGGAACATCTTTTTTGTGTTCCTTACCCCTATCATTTTCACTTCCAGCCTACTAAAGTCCTGCTCATCTTTCAAAGACCCAGCTCTAATGTCTCCTTTGCAAAGCCTTTCTAACATTCTCACATCCTCCTTCCCACCAACCTGGGAGAAGTTATGCTTTCCTCCTCCCATAGCAACCTGTTCATATTTCTAGTAAAGAACCTACCAATTTAGAATAACAGTAGATGTGTACTTGTTTGTCTCCTTGGCCATATACCGTGTGAAGTCCCTGAGGTAGAGACCGATTGTTATCCATGTATCTTTGAATCCTTGGCACTCAGTCCAATGGCTGACATGTTGGGGTACTTAGCAAATGTTTGCAGAGTGAGTACATTGACATAAAAATTTATGCACAAGTTTTCTGGAACTGGGCTGTTCTGTAAATCATGGATATACACATAATTTGAATGAAAAGAGAAAAAGTGGGGTTAAATGGTAAAGGCCAACTAAGGGAATGGGAAAGAAAAAAGGCACATTAAAAAGTCAGAACAAGAGAGGACTAACAGGAAAATTCTATCTATGTACGGTGCACACACTGGAGAAGAGCAAGACAATATAGCAAATTGATTCCTTAGGGCAGAAACAATTGAAAGGTAAGAGAGTGACAAGGGATAGGAAATTAAGGCATGGAGACAAATCAGACTTGAAGAAAAAGCACAAAGTCAAATAGACTGGCAGATCTTGGTCTGGAAATATTTCCAGTTGGCCACAGAGCCATCATGGCTATGGTTGCTTTTATGTTGTATGGATAATATTAAATGAGCTTTTCATGTCACTTAAGTCCTTACCAATTTGTCATCTAAAAAAGTGACTCCAGTTCAACAATAAATACTTTGACCAATATGCCATCTAAAGTGAGGCATATTTTACCATGCTAAAGTTAAGAAAGTGGTTGAAGGCATAGCTTTGACCAACTGATGGCCGTTTGTGCCTGCCGAACTTCTGCCAATGATTCTCTTGCAAGTAGTGTAGGTGGTTATGAGGTTTGTTGGGCTGGGCATGCAGAGGCAGGTAGTAAGTCCTATAAAAGTAAGGACTGAAGACTTATCTATTTGTATGCCTTTTGTCTGTTTGCGTTAATATGCAGAGTGTGATTATTTGCAGACTCAGAACTTTAGAATAAAAGTACTTTGACTTTCAAATTGGTTTTTCTTGATTTGTTTTTTTTCATCTTTACACTCTACTTTTTTCCATCTTTCTCAAACTCAGTTTTCCCCAGAAGCAGAGTTGGGACTTAATATTACAAAATTCTGCTTGCTATAAATTCTTAAAAAAAAAAAGACACTGAAGAACTTCCAAGCAAAAGTTTAAGAAGTTCTGCTGTAAGTTCATCCATGTGCTTTTGGGATTTATGTAGATATATTTGTTTTTGTTGTTTTTGCTACAAGGCTATGATTCTAGCCTTGCTAGAATCATATACAAAGCAGCATATTTATTTTCATCAGTCGGGTGAACACTACAGTGTGAAATGGACATTGCTGAAGAAGGATAGGGATTTATGAAACTGCAACAGAGACAACTTATTGACATCACATGCAGCAGTGGTCCATGAGGGGGAAAGGATAGAAACAATTGCACTGGGAGTTGGGAGACTTGGCTTGTAGACCCAGCCCATCACTCTGCAGCTATAGGACTTTATTTAGGCACTGTGTGCCTCGGTTTCCCGTCATTGAAAAATGGGAGTGATATCTGCTCTGCTGCCTACTTCAGATGGACTGTTTGAGAATAAAAGGAGGTAAAAATGCAATAATGGTTGTGAGGATTTTATGAACCGTGAAATGACCTATAAGTACCACACCATATCACTATTACTGTTATTATTGTTATTATTATTATTATTACGATTCTAACTGTTCAAGGAAAGCATTTGTGACCAGTGTGATCCTGCCTGTTACTCTGGAAACTAACAACCCAGTTTCATAGTTATTTTACTCTTGATGGGGCAGTAACTTGGTCTGGTTATACTGCAGTATTCAGGAAACCTTGGTCCATTTTTCAGGCCATGACTTCATGTTCCCAGAAGAGGGCAGCAAAACACCAATCCAAAGGCTCTTTGCCACTTCCTCAAAGTGTCTAAAGCCTTGTTTCCTTGAGAGGAAAACAACTATGCTGTGAAGAGAATAGCTTTTAAAAAATAATGGTCTTTAGGAGACAGAGGAGGCAAATCCCATAAATACCACAACAAACATTCACCATTTCAAATAATATTTTGCCTTTTGTATATTCTCTGAAGAAAATAATTTGGGCTGTTTCTTTAATCTGATGTTAATGATTTGACCTGTGTAAGCAGAAACCCCTAGCCATGTTTTTCCATTTAACCCCATATTTTTATATTTCACATAGCACCAATTTTTAAATCATTTTTTTTAATGAGAGGAAAGTAAATTGTTCAGGCCTGATTCTTTCAATTTAAGATGCCTTAGCTAAGTGCAAAGAATGATTCCCAACAGTCTCTAAATATGTCTGTCATAGGATGTGACTGTGTCATTCGGGGAAAATGTTATCTGTATCTAATCTTTCTTATTCGTTCATTATTCAAATTTGTTTAAAGATATCCTGTGCTTTTATATCTTGTAAGAACATCAGCTGCTAACATTTGAACTGTTCTTAGTAGTATATCAGGTGCTTTCATACACGTTTTCATATGAGAGGTTGATAGCCACTATCCCCATTTTATAGATAAATTTTCTCATCTGTAATCAGCATAGCTGCCCTTTGCTTGAAGAGAAAAGTGCAGGGGGTCACCCCTATGTCAAGAGAGTCCTGATGGGTGGGCACTTTCTCTCTCCTAATAAGTAACAGATGAGCCAATTCTGAATCTGATGCTTTTTCTGTCTGCTTTACTAAAGTCAGAGATAGGGTAGAAAGGCTTTCAGTTACACTTTTGCAATTCCTTCCGCTTTTGTCAGTTCATTTCTGGCTCTGCTCTTTTGAAAAGACTACTCTGTTTCCCACTCTACCCCCTGTACCGCCACCCCAAGTCAGTACTGCCACCCTCTTTCCATTCCAGCTAAATAACCTCTTCCTGTTCTTAAGAATTGCATCACATTCTTGGCTTAATGTAGACCAACACCCCCACATTGGCACCAGGCAGTGTACAGGCCTTCTTTATTGGTTGAAAGTTCTTGTCTGGTGTGCACGGAATAAGTCACACACTTCCTGACTTCCAGCCCTGGCTGAATTTGCCTCCTTCACTTCAGCCCTATCCTGGAATGAGCAAGATTTTACCAAGTAGGAACGGTGTGGAAGGGCATCTGCACACCTTGCTGAATGAGCTGTCTACTCTTGCTGTTTCTAATTCTTCACTTCCTCTCTTTTCAACCCAGTCTGATCTGGCATTGGCTTCCACGGTGTTGAAGGGGCTTTCACTAAGGACAGTAATGCCCCCCATATTACTAAATCCAATGGATAC